GAGAGAGAGAGATATTCGAACGCGAAGACGGATATCCGGTGTTCCGCTACTACGATCACGCTACGACGCACGTTGCCGCGCTAATTAACGATACCTCGGCGTACCCCGCGGTTTGTTTGACACGATCCTGTCGGATGATTGCTCAATGTCGCTTCGATGAAAACCGTTTGGTAAATTTATATCATATGTATATATTCAAAGAAGCTTTGTTTTAAAATTAATTATTGCAAATATCGCGCATCCGATATCATCTTTCTCCCGTACGGATTAATATAATATCTCGATATTGTTATCACGTTATCTGGAAATGTGATTCTCGATACTGAAACGATAATTTGCTACAGGACTTTTAACACATTATACATATTCGAATTAATCATTAATGAAACTTTAATTTGATGATAAACAGATATCATAAATCCGAGAATACAGCTAAATCTCTGGAAGCAATATATTCGTGAGTTTAGCTTTGAACTAGATTTTGTCACCAAGCTCTGTTTAAATTCTATCGTATTCACCAAATTTGTACGAAGCGTTGTAGCTAAATTACCGAAACGTGTTTGTGAAACTTGCAACGAAGTTATTGCAGCAAGGCTATATATTTAGTTACAGAAATGGTAAGTTGATACAATTTCCCTACATATGTTTGTTGAAAATCGTATGATTGGAACGATTTACACGGCATAATTGGCACGTATAATTTATAACTGAATGATATTGCGATATATCAAACGTATTTTGCACGTTATTTCATTAGTTCTCGAGATAAAAACGGGAATTCGCAGTTAGCGTTTTACAGCTCCTCCCTGTATAGAAATGGACGCTGAGTTTAGACGAAGTCGTGTAATTAGACCACAACCGTGTTAATAAGCGTTGCCTGACCGTGGCAATACGGCAGTAATTAGCTATTAACCATTACTAATTGTGACGTATCGTCTCGAGAAACCGCGAGACGAACGGGACTTTGGATTCTCAAAGCGAAAAGCTTGAAGCAGCACCACGCAAACTCGCCGGAGATCTTTTAAATTATTCGTAACAACCTTGCCCCAGTTAACTATTTTATCTCGGTTTTCGCGATCACATAGAACAGTTTGAAGGAAAGCTCTATTTATTACTACTAAGCGATACAAAGCAGGAACTATAATGATCGTGGCTGTGAAAAAAATTTCGTTGAATAAGAATGAAGCGAGAGAGAGAGAGAGAGAGAGAGAGAGAGAGAGAGAGAGAGAGAGAGAGAGAGAGAGAGAGAGAGAGAGAACGTACGTACGTACGTA